AAAAAAAAGTTTCCCTTCCTGATAAAAAAGTAAATACTTGCTCAATTTTGTATACACTGCTTTTCACACTGGACTGTCCTCATTTCCTTTAACCACCCTTCCCTCCACCCATCAAACTGTGTGACCCTATGATTATCCCCCCTCTGCCAATACTCACTTCTCTGCTCCCCCCTTAGATGCTCACACACATTTTACTAGTTTTACAATAATGGTTTTATACAGTATTTATCCTTATGGGACTGAATTAGTTCACTTAGCATAACACTCCCCAGTGCCTCCCAAATTAGGTGGTGATTTACAAAATCATTGCTTGTACATGCTGCATAGTATTCCATCGTGTGAATTACCACAATTTCTCAATCCATTTGATTGTGGTTGGACATTTGGGCGGTTTCCATTGCAATGGTGAATAATGTTCCTATGAACATTGGTGTACAAATCTCCATTTGTGCATCAATTCTCATTTTCTTGGGGTACATTCTAAGTAGTGGAATAGGTAGGTCATATGGAATTTCTATGTTCAGCTTTTTGAGGAAATACCAAGCTCTACCTTTCAGAGTGGTTGTACCTATAAATAATTTTTAATTTTTTCGGGCCAGGGTTGACAATAACTGGCAATAGATGACTTAAGAATTAGTGACTATTTAGCTGGTCCACCTAAAAAGGACTGGGTGATCTCTGCTAGGTGACTTGCAGTTTGGACTTCAAGCAGTTTGCTTTGCTTTGCTTAGCATCCTAACCACCTCCCTCTATCTTTGCGCCATATTATTCTCATCCCCTGTGTTCTTTTTTAAATTTTTTTTTTCATCTCCTGTGTTCTTACAATCTGTGATTCTGGACCAGGTGGAGAAATGGAACCGCCGTGACCAGAAGCTACTGGAGGCAGTGCAGCGGGGGGACGTGGGACGCGTGGCTGCCCTGGCCTCCAGGAAGTCAGCCCGTCCCACCAAGCTAGACTCGCACGGCCAGTCCCCGTAAGTAAGTCCTCCTGACTCCACTTCTGCCATGTACTTCCCTTTGAACCCCTAACTCCAATATGATTTAGGACCAGGGAATGCCTACAACTTCAGAGCCCCTCTTGTCTTTGCCAGCAAGTGTATCAATAAATCTTGGATCTGTGTCAAAGCGAAAGGAGAGAGTAAAACATTCTCTCTGACCTCCATCCACCTCACAACACTGACACTACAAGGAAGCCCACTAAGCAAATAGTAAACAAATACACACATTACAGAGTCTAGTATTTCTTCATTGCACAAGTAGGTGGGAAGGAATGCATGGGAAATGAAGAATGAAGTGGTAGCCATGAGAATTGCATGACTAGAGGGAGTGATGTGAACTCTCATCTCTGCCAACTCCGTCTTCACGTGTCCAGATGCCTTCTCTGCTCCAGACATCTTTTTCTGTAGCACTTCCAGCTCTGTTGAAGGTCTTGTGCAGATGACCCCCCTTCGATGGTCTGAGATCCCTTAACACCTGCAGCTTTTATTTCCGTCTTCACTTCCAGCTACCTCTTAGTTTATCAGAAGTCAGACTCTGTTTAGAGAATTTGCTTTGTAGTTAGAGAGCATAGCGAGAAGAGCTAATGAAAATTCTTGTTCTCCCCTCATTCCCTGGCCCCTTCATCCTTCTGCCTCTTGGACCTGATTCCGGCAGGTTTCATCTGGCCGCCTCCAAAGGCCTGACAGAGTGTCTGACTATACTCCTCGCAAATGGGGCCGACATCAACAGCAAGAATGAGGATGGTGAGTAAGGTGCATCGCTAGCCCTTCCTATTTGCTTCTCCCCAGCTGGAGGCTCCAACTATAGTCCCCCAATCGTCTTCTCAGTCAGTCCTGCTCCACATCCCTCCAGGATTTCCCCTCTCTGCAAGTCAGTCATACCCCACCCCGCTTCCTCCTGCACTGCAAGTACCGGCATTGGAGAACAGGATTTTCTGGCCCCAAGTGGCTGAGAGTCTGTCTCTCTAATCTGCTGATTATCTGTGCGTCTCTTGCTTTCCCTCCCTGTGAGTCATCTGAATGCATGGAACCACCCACCCTCACTCTTTCCCTCTCTGTCTCTTTTCAGGAAGCACCGCCCTGCACTTGGCCACCATCTCCTGCCAACCACAGTGTGTCAAGGTCTTGTTGCAGGTAAAAGGAACTCAGTGGTACTACGCCTGTGAGGAGAAGTGGGCCCAGTGTTTTCTAGCTTCGTCCTGTAGTCTCACAGTCAGGTTTGGCCGAACGTTCCCCTCTTGCCTCTAATAAGAGAGCTGGTAATAATTTTCATGAACATTTATTCCACAACTGTTGCTATGTTTGAGTTGATTGTTTTTAGTTGCTGTGTTGGTATATCTCATTGAGGGACCTCACACAGGTCCGTGAAAAATGGAAACACCCTCAATGAGATAGATTGGCACAGAGACAAAACAATGGATTCAAACATAGCCAACAATTGTGAGTGAGGATGGTGCAGGATCAGACATTATTTTCTTCTTTATTGTATATAGAATTCTTTTATTGTTGTTTTTTTCAGAATATGAGTTGGAATCCAATTCAGTGGCACCTGACAGCACCTGAATGTGCCAGGCACTGTTCTAAATATTATCCTTGAGGGCAAACCACAAAGCCAACTGTTTGCCAGCCAGCCAGTACACATATACTGAGCTCCACCATTTGCATAGATACCGCAGAGGCCATCTGCTATGATGGTGGGTGGATGGAAAGAGTGTCATTGTTATTGTTTGTTGCTGTGGAGAAATTTTGATTCATGGTCACCCATGTGTGCTGAGTAGTCCTGCTTCATGGGGTTATCAAGACAGATTGCCAACCCTGCCTTGTGAGGTACCTCTGGGTGGAGTTGCATCTCCCACCTTTCAGTCAGTAATTGAGCCCTTAACCATATGCACCACGTAGGTTTCCTGGAAGGAGCAGTTGAAGTCTTCCAATTAAACCAAACCATATAGTCTGCTTTTGAAGAGCTTCAGATTCAATAGCACAGAGGAAAGATGTACGTGTGAAATGACATGTGGACAGCCTATAACTAAGTCCTCAAAAATAGGAAGGCATAGATTACGCCAATAGGCCACTGAGCTAGTTATTTCCCTGATTATACACCTGAGGTACTAGTTATGGACTCCAGTGTCTTTTCCCCCTAAGATATTAATTTGCTTTTTATTAAGCTCCAGGTTTAGGAACAGAGGCTAAAATTAGAGCTGACCATAATCTGTAAGGCATGTGCTCGGCTGGTCTCATAGTTGGGCTTCTCTAGTGTCATGGTCCTCCTCCTTCTCCCCACATTACATGAAAGTTGATGACCCCACAGGGTGTGTGGGATGAAGACATTCACACCACGCTCTATGCTGCTTCCCTTTGTGACTCTTTGCAGCATGGTGCCAATGAAGATGCTGTGGATGCAGAAAACCGTAGTCCATTGCACTGGGCAGGTGTGTACGGGGGAAATGGCTGCCAACAGGGCTGTGGAGGCTCTAGGACGGGAAGGAGGAGAAACTGATGACATTTGGTGGAAGGACAGGCCGGAGTGATGGAGTGATCAGAAGGATGCCGGTTCTTGACCTGAGTGAGTGTCCTTCCAGATTCCTCCTTAACCCAATTATCCTTCAATCCCTCCCAGCCTCCTCTGGCTGCGCTTCCAGCGTACTCCTGCTGTGTGACCACGAAGCCTTCCTGGACGTCCTGGATAATGTGAGTGACAAATCATTATTTGGGCAACACACTATGTGGCTTTTCTGTGTGGCCTCGATCGATCCATTTCGTAACCAAAAGTTAGACATTATATCCTCTTCCGACCTCTTCTCGATTTCCTCCCTTAGTGGGGCTGCTGGGCCTGTGTTCTAGAGATCTTTAGACACTGTCACAGGAATTATCTAGCCCTAGGAACTAGTTCTTTTGTGGAGAGAGGGAAGTTGGTAGGATTGTGACAAAACCTGGCTTTCTCTTCCTTCTCATGAAACCCCTCTCCGCAATCTCTGCAGGATGGACGGACGCCCCTGATGATCGCATCTTTGGGTGGTCATGCGGCGATCTGCTCCCAGCTGCTGCAGAGAGGTGCCCGAGTTAATGTCACAGACAAGGATGACAAGTGAGCCCTCTCCATCTTCCCATGCCAATTTTCAGGCCTTGATCAGTTTAGACAGGGCACTGGGCAAAGCGTGCGCAGTGAAGAAGGTGTGATGACATCTATGATCTTAGGAGCCTCCTTCCTTCCTAGTGGCGATTCAGAAGAGCTCTGGGTGCTGCTTTGCTGTTTCCCCCTTGAGGAGTCAAGGAAGTTTTCCTGAACCTTATTTTTCAGTTGTCGTTGTTGTTGTCACTGCCATTCTCCTAGCATAGACAACACCCAAAATAAATCCAATATCTCTGGACCTTTTGACAATTTGCTTGTATTCAAGCTATCCTTTAAGCAGTGGAATCCCAGATGGGTGAGGATGGGGATGGCAGGGAGGGGGAGGATGTTAATCAAAGGGTCACACAATTTGATGGGGGGGGGCTCGATGAAGGAAATGGGAAAGACCTGGTGTGAAAAACAATGTATTCAAACTTTGTAAATAAGTCAGTATTTTTTAAAACACACACACACACAAAGCAAATGAAGACAGCTTTCCTCGTTAGCTCTACCTTTCTAGATTACTATGGCTCCAGTGAATACATTTTGAAAATTGTGGTGTCATCCAAGAGCCCTATTGCTGCAGTGCCTTACGTGTTGGGCTGCTGATTGGCAGGTCCAAGGTTGAAACCCACCAGTTACTCTGTGGAGGATGATGAGGTTGTCTGCCTCTATAAATGTTTACTGCCTTGGAAACACATAGGCAAGTTCTGCTCTGCCTTATAGAGTTGCTATGGGCTGGAACTGACCAATTGGCAATGAGTTTGGTTTTTGGTTTGGGGGGGGTCTCATCTAGTGCTAGTGTTAGTCTGCTGTTCTCCTGATCCCACCAACCAAGCGCTGCTGACCTTGTGAGTGGAATTTCTAGAGCAAGGACTCCTGGATCACATTGGAAAGCTCAACTTTATCCTAAACCCACAGATCAGCTCTGATCCTGGCTTGTGAGAAAGGCAGCGCTGAAGTGGCTGGGCTGCTCCTGAGCCATGGAGCAGATGCAGGGGCCGTGGACAGCACGGGCCATGATGCCTTGCATTATGCTCAGGGCAAGCAGGACCCGGCGCTGTGGAAGCTGCTACAGCAGGCCATGAGCCGGAGGCGACGGGGAGGTAAACCGGATTCCCTTTTGTAACTTCAAGTTTCTCCTCTACAACCTTAGAATCAAAGAAGTTTCTTAGAATCCCACTTGTTCCCATGGACATATTCCAGAGGACATATAATTGTCACCTTAGTTGAGAATTTATTTATTTATTGCTCCTGATAGAGGATGACCTCAAATTTCTGAAGGCATCAACACAAGATCCCTTAGAGCAGCTTTGTCTCTCACTGACATCAACTCTGGCCGGTACGACCGCTAGCACTGATTAGTTGTAAGTGTACATCTTTGTGTGTGATTTACTGATCACTCTCATTCACCTTCTCTATTGGCCTGGAAAGCTGTCAGAACACAGGCCAGTTCTGTTTTTTTCAACAGTGAGACCCCAGTGCCTAGAAGAGTAATTGCCTTTGTCATAATTGTTGTTGTGTTGTTGTTGTTGATTGCAGTCGTGTCAAGCACAACTCATAGTAACCCTATGAACAAAAGACCTGAAGTCTTTCTATGACTATTGTTGTTTCTCAAAGTTCATAGAGTTTCCAGAGGCATGTTGTTTAGAAAGTGGATGCCACTCCTACTTCCAATAGGTGTCCAGTATAGAAAGGAATGAGAAAAGAATGAACTGGTCCACCTCTGGGGTAGGGAACCAAGGTCTCTGCACAGTTAAAAACCTATTGGAACACAGGTATCTCCTGCACCAGGAAGTCACATGTGATGCGGGGGATTACACTGAGAAACTCTGAAGATGAAGTGTAGGCTACAAGTAGTTAACACCACCTCATCTTTTGTTTCCTTTATGTCTTTATTTTTAGGCCAGGGACTAGTTCAACATCCAGATCTTGCATCATCCCAGGTAAGATCCCAAGTGCTTCCTCCTTTTGCTTCTGACGAACCCTCGCTATCCTAATGAGACACCCCCCCCAGACAGTGGGCCTTTATGCACTGAGACAGTTGAGGAGAAAGGACGTCCTAGGTCACTTGCATGATTTACCTTGCTGCTTCTATTTTCACGCAGGCATCTCCACCCGAGCCCCAGGTGGGCTCTCCACCTAAGAACCAGTGGAGAGCAGAGCCGGAGGAGGAGCAGGAAGAGGAGGAGGATGAAGAGCCATGTTCAGAGGAGTGGAAGTGGAAGTATGATGAGGAGAAGAGGAAAGTTTCTCAGTTGGAGCGGGAGTTGATGCGAAAGACAGAAGAGTGTATGGCTCAGGCTGCAGCCTATCTGGGCCTGGAGAACCAGATTCGCGAGCAGGTGCAGGAGCTGGGCCTTCTCTTGTCCCGAGAACCCAGCGCTCCAGGAGGCCAAGGCTCTCGGCTCCGGCCTGGAGGGGATGGCATGGAGCAGGGGCGTCCCCTAGACCTGCTGGCTGAACACATACAAAAGCTAAAAAAGCAACAACAGGCAGCCTCAGGAAACTCAACATCAATCCCCAGGAAGGCCCAGGATGCAGTCACAGGAGAAATCCAGCACGAAGCCCATGCAAGGTCTCAACAAGAACAGGAGCTACTGCAAAGCCTGAAGGGTGAGACCACTGGGAAGGCCACAGGACAGCAAGTAACCGCCAGTGGGGGTGAGTCCCTGGATCCTGATCATGTTGGCCAACTGTGTGCTGACCAAGAGAGACCCCAGACCCCAGGAGCTGAACCAGGAAGTACAGTGGCCGAACCAGTGGGCCCAGCAGCCATGGATCAGCTCCTGCTGCAACTACGGGAGGAGCTGGCAGCAGTGTGGCGAGAAAAGGATGCTGCCCGTGGGGCTTTAACCAGGCCAGTCCTGGAAGGAGCCCTGGGGACACCGCGGGCTGAGGCTGCAGCAGCTGCCTGGGAGAAGATGGAGGCCAGGTTGGAACAGGTGCTTGTGAGGCTGGATAGAGCAAAGGCCGGACTGCAGGTGAAGCCCCAGGCCCCTGCCCAGAAGCCCAGAGAGGGAGCCCCAAAGGCAACGTCAGGAACCATCACCAAAGAGGATGAAAAGGAGGGGAAAGCCCCTGGGGCCCGGGGTGAGCCTCTAGGAGCTCCTGGAGGGGAGTATGTTTCAGGAAGGGCTCTGCCAAAGGGACAGCTGGAGAAGGAGGTGTCCGCGCTGAGACTTAACAACAGTAATTTGCTGGAGGAATTGGGGGAGCTGGGACGCGAGCGTCAGCGGTTGCAGGGGGAGCTGCAGTCCCTGAGCCAAAGGTTACAGGGGGAGTTCGTGCCCAAACCAGAGGCGCAGGTCCAGCTGCAACAGCTGCGGAGGAGTGTGGGGCTGCTGACGGAAGAGCTGGCCATGGAGAAGGAAGCCACCGAGAAGTTGCGGAAGCGCCTGGCCTCGCAGAGCAGTGGCCTCCGAGGGCTGTGGGACTGCCTGCCCCCAGACCTCGTGGGCAAGGGGAGTGCCGGGGGCACAGCCGCCGAGCGCCTGGAGGAGCTGCGGGCCTGCATCAGCGTGCTCGTGGACCGGCACCGCGAGGCCCAGAAGTTGCTGGCTCGCCTGGAGGAGGAAAACCAGCAGTTACGGGGCACCCCGGCCCTCCGCAGGGAGTCAGAGACCTCCTCAGCAGTCTCAGCATCCCCTCAAGTGGCCGCTCTGGAGCAAGACCTGGGGAAGCTGGAGGAGGAGCTGCGAGCCGTTCAGGCGACGATGAGCGGGAAGAGCCAGGAGATCGGGAAGCTGAAGCAGCTGCTGTACCAAGCCACCGAGGAAGTGGCGGAACTGAGGGCGCGCGAGGCGGCCAGCCTGCGGCAGCACGAAAAAACTCGGGGCTCCCTGGTGGCCCAGGCCCAGGCTTGGGGCCAGGAGCTGAAGGCCCTGCTGGAGAAGTATAACACGGCCTGCCGAGAAATGGCCCGGCTCCGGGAGGCCGTGGCGGACGAGCGCCGCAAGAGCGGGGACCTGGCTGCGCGCGCGGCGGAGCAGGAGCGCCAGGCCGGCGAGATGCGCGGGCGCTCCGAGCAGTTTGAGAAGAACGCGGAGCTGCTGAAGGAGAAGATGGAGCATCTCATCGAGGCTTGCCGGGACAAGGAGACCAAGGTGAGCCGGCTGGGCGGGCGGGGAATATTGTGGGAGGGTCTGCACACATGGGAGTCCATGCCCTCAACCCACCTGTTGTTAGTTCCATCAACACTCCCAGCTGAGTGCCAGTTATTTGCAAAGACAACTCTATATTCTCCTGGGTCTGAGGAACTTAAAGCTGAGCGTGGAGGTGGAATAAGGTATAAATAGGAAAGAAGGGACTTAGGCACCACATTTTGGGACTCAGGGATCATAAGCAGTGCTCAGAGGCATCACTCGGGAATCATTAGCATTTTTACTTCTACAGTGTGTTATCCTGGGGAAAGGACTAATAGTATGGTGGGTTGCTGAGTTTCTCAGGAGGTGACTCCGGGACTGATGTGCCAATAAGTAGACTAGGTCCTCTCCTCCTCTCTCAGTTCAGTCGGAGGGAATTCTGTCTATTCCTAAGAGATTTCCATTCGCTAATATTTCTGCTAGTAACATCTACTGTGACAGATACCTGAGTTCGCTAATGATTGCTCAGAAAGTGAATGTGAATCTTTTTAGAGTATTTTCCTATTAGTCATGGTTTATGAATTCCAAATGATCAACTTAAAATTAATTTAGTAACTGGAGAACTACCTGTGAAAATTGAGATTTGTGACATCAGAGTGCTTATTAAAATGTGTATGGCTGTTCAAACCAAATGATTTAAAAATGTAAGGAGTATAAATTTTACTTATGTAGCATGTTGTGCGGTAGAGTTGGAAGGAATCCATAGCTGACCCTCCAGCAGGGTTTCAGGGGCAATTAATTGCACAGGAGGAGATTGCCCATCCTTCTCTCACAGAACAGCTGGTGGATTTGAACTGCTTGCCTTTGAAATTGTAACACAGCTTCTTACTGCCAAGCCACTAGAGCTCCCTTTGTGTAGCAAAGGATGAATAAAAATTATAAGAATGTTATAGAGTAGGAAGCCTTGTGGGAAGGGTTTAATTACAGAAAGAAGAAAGTTTGTGCTACAAGGAATTGAAAAAAGAGAGGAAAGCAGATGTATGCTGCAAAAGAAAATAAGATTTTAGTGATTAGGAATGTGCCTTGTGGACTGAAATGATCCAAAACAGAACTTCGATTGCAAAATGTCCAATCTGAGGCAGGTTATTTAGCACCTCTACACCTCTAGTTTCTATTCCCCCCCCCCCAATTATGGGGTTTATTAGGGAAGTTAACAAGCCATAATGCAGGTTGATAGTAGGCTACAATCCCTCAGTCCAGACAGCTTCTCAAGCATGGTCGCAGGTTCTCTGACCGTCAGCCTCACAGCTTAGGTCAGGCAAGAAGCTGCACTGCAATCCCAGAGGTGAGCAGTTTAAATCCACCAGATACTCTGCTGGAGAAGGAAGGACAATCTCTCCTCCTGTACCAGTCAGATGTGATTTGACAGAACACACAAAAAAGATAATAAAAGTAAATAAAAAATTTAAAAAGTCCCCTTAATGCTGCCTCTGATGGGGTCTTCCCTCAGTCCTCCAGCAAGCTTGGCTCGAAGGCTTCTGGCTCTGGCTCCATGGGGCAGCGGTCCAAGTCAGCTCTGTCTCATGCTGTGCTCTGCTGAGCCTGCAGTTGCTCTTGTGTAGATCCCAGTCTCACAGGCACAAGCATCTCTGGCCCCAGAAGCTGCTGCTTCTTCCTTGCTGGTGTTGTGACTCCTGCATTTTCTCACCTTTTATATGGCAGTGATAATGATAGGGTTGTTGTGAGAATTAGAAATGGTAGTGGCACAGTGGCTGAGATGCTAACTGTAATGGTTCAATGTTTATAGCACTAGTTACTCCATAGGAGAAGGATGTAGCAGCATGCTTTTCTAAAGATTATAGCTTTGGAGAACCTATGAGACAGATCCTCTGTCCTTAGGGCCACTGTGAGCCAGAATCAACTTGATGGTAATAGGTTTGGGTTTTGGAGTATTGATTAAATTAAAATATTACATTGAAACTACTCAGAACCATGGTTGGCAGAGGACAAACGTTTAATACAATGTTGTCATTCCTATTGCCATTGTTGCTATCTCTGCTGGTGACCATTCTATTTGTGTCCTAACCTCATAAATTACATGGGCTTATCTTTATTTCCCTCAGTGATCAGCAGCCAGAAGTAGGTTAGGATCTAGTCTACAGTTTAGAATCTGTACCCTAACACCCATGTTCATTGCTGCACTATTCACAATAGCAAACAGATGAAGGCAACCCAAGTACCCATCAACAAATGAATGAATAGGAAAACTATGGTGTAGTCACACAATGGAATACTATGCAACACTGGAAAATAATGAACTTACAAAACATAACACAACATGGGAGAGCCTGGAGGACATGATGCTGAGTGAAATAGCTCAGTCACAAAAGAGCGAATACTGCATAACACCACTTATAAAACAGGATTGACATGGGGGTTGGGGGGGAAACTAAGAAAAGAGGGCATAAATAATGAATACTGCATTGGAACAGATGAGGGAAAGGACTGTTTAAAAGGAATATATGATTAGGTGACAACAGCCCAGAATAAGAGGTGCATTGCAAAGAGGACTCTGGGAGGAGAGGGAGGGATGTAACTGTACAAAAATAGAACAAATATTTATTTAAAAAGTGAACTAGGGGAGGGGGAAGAGAGGAAGAAGGGGTAAAAATGTGTAACAATGAATGAATGAAAACCTAACTATTTTGTAAAATTTTATTAAAATAAAAAACCCTATTAAAAAACAATTTGGACCCTAGAGTTAAAGAGATCTTGGACCAAATCATTATTATTAGCTACCTGATTTTGACACGTTATTTAACTCAAATTCCTTATCTACAAAGTGCTCATAATACTTGCCTTAGAGTTGTTTGGAATATTAATACATAATAGTATCAATGTAAGCCGGTCGCTTCGGCAGCACAAATATTAAAATTGGAACAATATAGAGAAGATTAGCATGCCCCCTGCACAAGAATGACACACAAATTCATGAAGTGTTCCATATTAAAAAAAGAAAAAGTATCCAAGTAAGCTGATTATGACCCAGAATGTAGGTGGGATTTGGGATGGGAAATCGAGAGTCTCATTGTTTCCTTTCTTCCCTTTTGGCTTCAGATCAAGGAACTGTTAAAGAAGCTGGAACAGCTTTCGGAGGAGGTTCTAGCAGTTCGGGGAGAAAATACTCGCCTTGCTCTACAGCTGCAGGTATGCTCTGGCACTTAAGGAAATGCTGCTGGAGAAAGAGTCGGACAGTGACAGTGATGTGTATGTGGGAGAGATTGAGGGACTTGGACCCCTGAAGGCTAGTTAGGCAGTGGGCTGGGCTGCACCAGGGTAGCACCAAGGGCGCTTATCTGGGCTTGTGTTTCTTCCCCTTGGTGTTCCTCATACTTATGGGTCTGCATGAGGGTGGGAGAGCTGAGCACTTGCCCTCTTATTGATTCTCACTTTCAGGATTCCCAGAAGAACCATGAAGAGATCATCTCCACTTACAGGAATCATTTGCTGAATGCTGCCCGGGTGAATATGGTGGAGTTTGGGGGAAGGCAAAGACAGAACTCTGACCCGGGGGCATGGCATTTGGGGTGCCACCTCTTATCTGGGTACCATTTCTCAGACAGCTAGACTTTAGATGTCTAGTATCAGGTGTCTGGATCTCAAGAGAAATTGTGCACAACTGTATTTGGGGAGAGGTGTTTGCCCTTTTCTTTTTTCATTTCCTGACCCACTATAAAGCTGTGTTCTTCCCCCTTAACATCTTCTCAGCATTTTCACCCAGAGCCAGCCTATCCTTCAGCAAGGAAGGAGTGGTGAATAACTTGCTTCTTTATTAGGAATAATGATAATCATTGAGTCCAATATCTGTAGTGCATCAGGTGTTTTTCTCCATATTACAGTTGTAATCTTCACAGGAATCTGAAAAGGAGATATCATTGCCTTCATTGCAAAATAAGAAAACTGTCATGGAAAAGTTAAATGTTGTGAGGACATATAGTAAATAAAAAAACAAAACCAAAACTCTGTTATTAGGATTCATGATGACCCTTTACTGGGTTTCCAAGGCTGTAAATCTTACTGAGAACAGATCGCCTCATCTTTCTCCCATCAAGAGGCTGGTGGATTTGAACTGCTGACCTCTCAGTTAGCAGCCTACACCACCAGCATGCCTTTACACCACAAAATCTCCCCGTCATCTGGTGCCCCATTTCCTGTTCTGCATCTCCTTTATTTCTCTCTTTTGTCTCCTACAGGGCTATATGGAACAGGATGTGTACAATATCTTATTGCGAATCCTCAGCATGCAGGAGGAGTAAGGCAGCCTGGGCCCTGGGATATACAGAATTTCTCTGTTGTGAGTTGTGTATTAAAGTGCTGAGGAAAGGAATTTGGGCAAAGACACTTAGCAAGGGAATTGGAGTCTGTTTTTAACCTTTGGGTGGCTGACAATAGGGAGTACTATGAGGTATGGAATATTTAAAGTAAGGTCAATGGAGAAGATATATGGGAAACCACTAGTAGAAGTAGGAATTGGTGTGCATGTGGACTGAAGAGGGCTCACTGATGGGGTGGATACTAAAACAAGGGGTTGGGTAACTCTTATGGCCAGCCAAAATGAGAATGACCCTCAACGAGATGGACTAATATAGCGACATTCAACACTGAGCTTGAGCATGGTGGAGTCATAAGGTTGGTGCAGGATATGGCAAGGTGTCCATCTGCTTTATTCAGCAACACCCTGAATTGTAGTTGGCACATGTATCGTATTGCCTATGGTAGGGAGGTGCTAGTGAAAGATAAATGTTGGGGGAACAGTTGCACAAAACTAATCTCAAGGTAAGAGAATTCCAGGATACCACTTCCACACCATTCAGTCAAGGAAAAGTTAACCCCTATTCCTCTTCCCACCCTACATAGATAGCGGTCTTCTCCAGTCCAAGTAGATAAGATCCCCTTTAAGACCTTGGCTGGGGAAGACAGACGATATGGAAATGTGTCCATTTCATCCTTGAATTTTTCCCTTCAGGGAACAAGAGCATCCCTGGCTGCCACAGGCTCCACCCAGCTGTGGTGGATGATGGGTTGGCCACTCCTGGTGTTTGGGCAAGGCATCACCTGACGTTAAGCGGTCCAGACCTGAGAATCTGAACTCTAGAAGCAGCATGGATGGGACCAAAGGAGATGGGGATGGAAGACCTTTGAAAAAATAAAGCAGAGGCAGGATGGTGCTGGGTGTTAATGGCTTTTTGTTGTTTTTGTTTTTATCTTGATGAGAAAAAGGGCAGGAGGAAGCATTATTTTTCTTTTAAAATTACAAATGGTCCTACAAATTAGCAACTTTGAAATGTGTTTTTTCTACCAGGTATCATCAGCTATGATGCATAGTAAAAAATATATTTAAAATCCTATGTATACATATCTGAAATAATCACTAGTCTTACTACTCCTATTCCTTTCCCCTAGCTGAGTTTTTGTTTAAAAAAATTATTCTAAACAAAAAATTGTTTATCACACTAATGAACACACAAAGTTTGAAAACCACAGCCCTCTGTGAAAATTGGGATTGACTCCCCCTCTTTTTTTTTTTCATCAATTTTTTTCTCTTACAGACACAACTCTAATCTTTTCTTTATCCTGTGCCTCCTGAATCCATGACCATTTCTAAGAAGAATAAATTGACAGATTTTCTTCACAAAGTACAAGCTAAAATACTCTTTCATGTGTCAATTTGTGTGTCTAGATTCGAGAGCATTTTATGTAGTCAATCCTCAGTGCCTGAGGTGCAAAGAAACAAATAAAAAGCATCCTCCACTCCCCATCCCAAACCAAACCACAATAAATCCTCACTGGCCTAGTGGTAAGAAGCTGTGCTGCAAGATCGAAGTCACACGGTTCGAACCCACCTGCTGCTCCACAGGAGAAAGATGGGCAATCTCCTCCCATGTGATTAACTGTCTCTGAGAACCCTCTGGAGAGTCAGCTATGGGTTGGTTCCGACTGGAATACAACAGCAACCATCAATTCCAAGCCACAACTACTCTGCAGGGCACAACCTCCAGGTGCTCGTTCACTAACCTTTTAGCAGCCAAATTCTTCTGGCTCCTTACTCAGGTGCAAAGGGGGAGAAAAAGCCAGATTCCTGAGAAAGAGTTGGAGGAATAGAGGTAGTTTCTTCCTCCAGTTCTGTTCTCAGACTGAAAAACATAGGTATCTCTCTTGGGCACCTGGCTCGGTCTCCTCCCCTTCCTGCTCTTCCACCAGACTGGAGAGCGCAGAGCAGGGGCTTTCTCCGCAGCTGGGTCCCCAGCCTATGCACTGACCCTCCCTATTTTTTTTCTCAACCCTCCCTCTACTGGGTTATGCAGGGTCAGGCAGCAGCGGTTTGGCAAAAAAAAGGAGATACTAATAGCAACCAAACCCTTAGAAGCCTTCCAGAAACAACCTTAGGAAAACAAGGCGGGAGAAGGAAAGGGAAAAGAGGGGCAACAACTAAGTGGGGGAGAGGCTGCCATCAAAGGCTGCTCATACATGCAGGGGCTGGACTGGCTCCAGGGCTTGGATCGGAAACAAATCGTAGAGATAATGTACACCAGGTCCTAGCTCTGGGCTACGTCAGCTCCAGGGTCTGTGAGAGCGGGCGTAGGACTGAGTGAAGGCTGGGAGAATGAAGAGACACCGAATCAGAAGGGGAGGGCAACCGCTGACCGAGGAAGAGCATAAAAGAGCTAAAGGGCTTTTATTAAGGGTACAGGACGTCCTCTTTCCTGCTTTCTCTCAGTTGTAGGTTTTGTTGTAGAATGTCAAGGGTTTTCTTTCATTCATGGGATGTCAGGTGGGAAGAGAGTGCAGAAATCCTAAGAGGGGAGATACTAATTTGTTAATCTGGCTAAGCATGAGTTAGGAGATGGCTTTGGTAACAGAAGTCAGACTGTCGGCTTCCTTGGGGCTTCGGGGAGCTGATCCCAGGATGGCTGGTTTGTGGGAGCCGAGCGATGTCAACTCAGAGCAAGCTTTTCGAGGCGCTGTTCTAGGCTATACACTTTCCTCCTTAAATCTATTGCCTTCTAGCTGATTCCAGCTCACAGTGATCCTATAGGACAGAGCAGAACAGTCCCTACAGGGTTTTCGAGGTTATAAATCTTTATAGAAGCAGACTGCCTCATCTTATAGAATGGCTTCTGGGTTTGAACCACTGACCTTCTGGTTAGCAGACAAATACTTCTAACCATTTCCCTGTATACAACCCATGAACTGTAACTGCCTCAATAACTCCAAGACCTAGATTTTTTTTTTAACTCTCCCAAAGTAATTCTAACTGTAATGTTTTCTTCATTATTCCAGGGCTGTTTGGCAAACTTCCCATTTATGCTAAGGCTTCTCTTTCTCCTCCAGCCTTCAGATAAAAAGTGTACGGGCAAGTGAGATGAGGGTGGTGAACCATGATGAGGTTCATGCTGTCTTTGCCCACAGTCTGACCCTGGTTTTCAGGCTCCCTCCTGGCTGGGTTAATTTATTCATTAGATATTTTTAAAGTCTGTGTGTCAGGTACTGGCGATACAATGAGAACAACACAGAAAAAGTTCCTGTCATGGGGTCAGGTGCAGGTGCCTGGGTTCCCAGGTTTCTGTTATCCAGCAGCCATGTTTGGCTTTATTACCTTTAGTTCACTTTGTGGCTAGATGGTAAGGAATTGCTCTGCCAATCCAAAAGCATGTGGTTCAAATGCACCAGCTGCTCTGCAGGAGAAGGATGAGCAATCTCCTCTCATGCAGTTAACTCTCTGAAAACCCACTGGAGGGTCAATATGATTTGGTTCCAATTCTATGGTGTACAACCACAGTTCACTTTGTGGGAGTTCTGATGGCTTAGTCTTATAGGGAGTTAACTCGAAGACCACGCCTCTGGTAGTTCAGATCCATCCATGACTCCCTGGAAGGAAGATGGGCAATTCCCTCCTCTGGAATTTATAGCCTCAGAAACCCAGTGGAGGGTCAACTTTGAGTTGGTTCCATGTGTATGTGGTAAGATGACAGAATTCACTTAAAAGGAAATCCTTCCACTAAATCACTAGGACCCAAAGTTGAGGTCGACAGATTTTCTTATTTTCTACAGCTTTATGGAAGGATAACTGACATAAACTGTACATCTGTAAAGTGAACAGTTTGATAAATTTTTACATATGTATAAATTTGTGAAACCATTACCATAATTAAAATTATATCCATCGCTCCTAAAAGTCTTTTGAATAATCATTTGTTAAACCTTTTCCCCAAGAAATAGTGAACATTTTGGATAATACAAACTAATCATAGTAACTTGATCTAGAGAGCTGAACAGAACAAAAACAGGAACAAAAATGGGCATAGGCCTGATAAAGATTCAAATGTATGGAAAGAGTGGTTGGGATTTAGCACCCAAATTCTTGATGTCTCCAACAGTGCAGGAACCAAAGGATAAAGAAACCGAGTGTCAGGAAAAGGTGGACATCTTTTCAGGATACAATCCACAAGGTAGTTGGCATGGTCCAGTTCAACAAGTACTTGGAACAATTGGTAGACCAGCACCTTCAATTTTATGGTTTATGTGGTGTCCAGTGGTTATTTGTATTCCATCAACTTCTGGGGCTTTATTTGTGTGTGTGAATTTTTTTTATATTAATTTTAACGAAAGTTTGTAATATGACTTTCTTTGTAATGACCGTTTGCATTCTTCCTGGATAATACCTTTGACATCCTCCCACAACTCATCTGGTCTT